AAACTTTTGCCTGTATTTTCACTTCTTCTCAAAATACTTTAATAAACTTGGAATCTTAGCGTCAAGCAATCACAAAGGTAGAGGCAACCTCAATGGTTATGAAGCATATTCTGTAGCTGAAAGGAAACCCCTCTGGAAAAAGAAAGCTGGTCTATTCTTTAATCTTCCACTTGACTCAGGGCCATTTTCTTTGGTTGATAATTACATGAAAGTATGTGGAGACATTTCTTTTCAAAAACTTCAAGGAAATCTAGTTGTATTATTAGAAGGCCCAGTGGCCCTACATGTGTTTCTCTGGTCTGTCTGCTGGCTACAACAGGTTGCTGCCTAGTGAGGCTCATGTCTTTTACTTCTTGTAACTTTTGTGTTCTATGCATCATAGAAAAGTTTTGACAACAACAACTGAATACCTCTCAGAAATCAGGACTGCATACACTGGAGAACTAATTACATCTTCTGAATTCAGCTGCTTGAGGAGGTGTGGGTGTTCTCAGAGGAGTAATTGGCCCTGAAGAGGACCTATATTCTCATGTCTTGAATAATCCATTCTCAGTTCTCTTGATATGAAAACTCTTTATGACTTTATTTGGATTCATTTCAATGAAACAGAAGTGTAGTCAAGAAGCTGACCATTATTCTTTTGTCTGCCTGAAAACATTTCTCCCAATGCCACAGCCCAGCTATTGACTTTGCTTGCACAAAATCCATGCAAAAATGAAGGTTGATGATAAGTTATTTTGATGAAGTGCTCTGATCTTTATACACCATGAACTGGAGAGGAATTTCTCTGGTGGGACCCATTTTTTTCCCTGAATAAGGCTTCAAATTGAAGATGGGTAAGCAAAGCTGCTCTGTTACTCCTATCCCTTTGGAATTTTCACCCATCCTGAAAAATTTCCTATAGGTAGATTTCCCTATATTACAATTCTAATAGCATACCTTACTCAGATTTACAATTCAGGTCACATAATTCAAAACAAAGGGAGGAATTTGTATATAGTTAAAATCGCAGGTTCTAATATTAAAAAAAAAAAAACAAATTTCAAAAATTATCCTCAATGGAATGCTGAAGCTTTGAGAAAACATCAAGTTTCCTTAAATTTCAAAAAAATTGTAGGTCACAGGATCAAATGTTGGAAGACAAAAAAAGCAAATTGTTTCCTGATTTCTGGATAAAAGGGGAAGCATTCTACTACCCTAGTCCACAGGAGACAAATGGGCCACTAGTCTTTGAAAGGTTACCCTTTAAAGACCCAAATGGGAAAGACAAATACTGTTCCTTTTTGTGTTTAGTTCAAATTATTGAAATGAAGACCTTATCATTTCTGCAATGTCACTTTGTTTGATCAGAAACCACCCTAAGCTAATTGATGTCAAAATTGTCTCACCTATTACAACAAAGTATGAAGAGATAAGTTAGAGACTGTTTCCAACATGTGCAGAGGCTTTCTCAGAATTTAGACAGTGGGAAAATTTTCTCCTACAACACCTTTATTTCTTCTTTGTATTAGGCTTCTAATTGAAGACATTTTGTGAAGATTCTAGATCAATTCCTACTTGGACTCTTGTCTCCAGGGAAGTCTTGGATATCAGAAATATGGTAACACACCATGCTCAGACTTAGAATATGCATGCCACATAAAAGTAAAAGAATATCCTATGCTTCAAAGTGAGGGTATTTTGGAGACATCTTTTTCTTGTTCCGCATGCTTAGTCACCAGATGATTATAAAAATTGGTAATTATTTAGCACTTCAAGCTTGGCAAAATAATTTACATTTTTTAAAAAATCATTTGATCTTTAGGACAACCTCTGTGGATAGGGGCTACTATTTCCAAATTCTGTAAATTTGTAGAGAGAGACTGAGTGTTTTCAGGTCATACAGATCATAAATATCAGTTCTTCTTGACTTCACATCACTTACTTTATCCTTTCTAGCATCGTGCTGTTCTCTGAAAATGCACAAACAAACCACCTAAGACAGCCGATGATAGGACTTATTCAGAAAAGAACTTAGCAAGTATCCAATTTTCCTACTGAAGTGACTGAGACTCTGAGAAGGTAAGAGAGTGGCTTGCCTAAAGTAACAGAGTAAGTTAGCAGTGGTGGCACGGCTATGACCAAGATCTCCCAACTCAGAACCTACTATCCTTTCCACAAGACTAGACTTCCTCAAGGAGTAAGGGATTTGGAACTAGAGTACTAAGGTTCAAACCCTGGTTCTGCCATTAGACCTTACACAAATCTCTTAGCCTGTCTGTGGCTCATTAAGTTTATTTGTAAAATGAAGGGATTAGACTAGAATCAGGGGTGGGGAACCTGTAGCCTCGAGGCCACATGTGACCCTCTAGGTCCTCAAATGTGGCCCTTTGACTGAATCCAAACTTCACAGAACCAATCCCCTTAATAAAAGGATTGGTTCTGTGAAGTTTGGATTCAGTCAAAGGACTACACTTGAGGACCTAAAGGGCCACATGTGACCTCAAGGCTGTAGCTGCCCCACCCCTGATGAACCCTAAGACTTCCAGCTCTATATCTGTGATCCTACAAAAACTTTTTAGGGTTCATTCTTAATCATTATTGTTTGTCATAGCTTCCTCTTCCATGCATCTTTTGTGTTCCATTGAATTCATTCAAATAATTCAGTTTAATGAGTATTTATTAGGTGCCTGCTAGATGCCCACATAACCCAGAGTTGGCATGGCTGCTGAAATAATGTGCCAGGTATGGTGGTAGTCTCTGATGATAAACAAATGGATAAATCAACACACACAATTCCTGCCATTGTAGAGTTTACATTCCACTGGGAGAAAACTGCACACAAATAAGTCAATGCAACATATATTCCAGGGCAATATAAATCATTCAAGTGGGGGCACTAACCCCAGGAGGAAGAGGAAAGGTTTGGGTATAGAAGTTGGTACCTAATTTCAATATTTAAGACCATCAGGGATTTTCAGAGCAAATACCAAGGAAATAGAACATTTGAGGCATGGGGGACAGCTTGCACAAAGGCACACAGGTTGAAGATGGTAGATCTGGGCAGCAAAATGTATGAGATCAGTGTGCCTGGAATGTAGAACACATAAGTGGACAAATGCAGAATCCATCTAGAAAGATAAATTAGAGAGCAATGGCAAAGGGCTTGGGACACCAAACACACACACACACACACACACACAACTTAGAAAGCAAGGCTATCCAGTGAAGGTGAAGGTGCTGGAGCATTATAATGACAAGGGAGATCTGTGCTTTAGGGATTATAGGCAATTGCGTTGGAGGTGTATTTTCTTCAGGAAAATCTTTTTTCAAAAGGTATGGATGCCAGGGCATTATTTTAGATGGTAGAGAAAGAGGAAGTGAAAAAGGAGAGAATGAAAATAAAAATATTGGGAACGATTGTTGGACAAACTCCTGGAGGCAGGCAGATGTCCTAGTGGGTTTTGTGCTACCTGTGTTCTCAGGAAGACTAGACTTCAAACTGGGTTTCAGACATTAATTTAATGTGTGACCCTGGGTGAGTCCCTTAAACTTTGTCTGCCTCAGTTTCTTCCTTTGTGAAATGGATATAATAACAGCATCTACCTCCCAGAATTAGTGTGCAGATAAAATTAGCTAATATTTTTAAATTATTTGCAAACATTATCATGCTATATCAATGCTGGTTATTGTTATTGTTTTGGGGGGCAGCTAGGCAGTTCAGTGGATAGATCACTAGGCCTGAAGTCAGAAAGACTGAGTTCAAATCTGGCTTCAGATACTTACTAGCTTTGTGACCATGGGAAAGTCATTTAATCTTGTTTGCCTTAGTTTCCTCATCTGTATAATGAACTGGTGAAGGAAATAGTAAACCGCTCCAGTATCTCTGCCAAGAAAACTCCCAATGGGGTCATGTAGAGTCAGAAATGACTGAAAAGTGAGTGAACAACAACTAAATTGTTATTGGAGGAAAGAAAAGGGGACTAAATGGGGAGCAGAAGTGAAGAAGTTAACATTGGCAAGTAGAAGACCATTTCTTCCTTCCCCTAAAAATATAGTGAAGGGAAAGAATGTGGGTTAATGAAGATGACCCCGGTAGCTGAAAGAGGAAATTCAAGAAAGAAGACTTCTTTCTCTGCTAAGATGGAGGATGAAGAAAGTAGCATAGGGAGTCTTAGGAGACAGAAAAAAATACTTGAGAATAATATGTTTTGGAAGGTGGCATTGGAAGTTAATTGGAGATGAATAAGTGGATTGCTTTAGGCATGTGAGCACTCAAGTAAGAGAAGGGAACATGAATCTGTAGCGAACTCAGTCAATAGGATGATGGGGCTTGTTCAGTAGCACATTAATAGGACCAGAAAATGTGGTTGGTAGGCATAACCTAGAGTTGGAATGACTGATGAAAGTATAACGTGTCAGGAATACTAACACAGAGATTAGATTAAGGTTATATCAGCCAACCACAGAGTCAAGACTATGAAGGCAAAGGAAACAGATTAGAGTAAGGATGATGAACTTGCAAAACAGTGAGGGATGTAGCAACTGGTGTTCAGGTAAGGAGTGAATTTGTTTTGAGAAGAGGTGAGACAGAAAGTGTGATGGAAAGGTAGGACATTGTTATTGAAGAGAGGAATTTCAGAGTTCCAGATCATGGAGGTAGAACAATTATGATTAACGGTCCAATCAAGGATATAGACATTTTTCTGTGTGCCTAAGGTAGAATCAACATGGAGGTCATGGGAATTGAGGAGATTGAGGCTCAGTAATATAAACTCACTAATGATTTTCAAAGTGTGGAATGGGATTTTCCTCATTGTAACATGTGTTGAAAAAATCACAATTACAACATTAGTATTACTGTGTTAAGTTTAACCTACATATTTTTTGTCATACCAGAAGCTCAGTTTCATATTTTAATAAAATACATGATTCCATGACCCAGAGAAAATATTGATAAGTGCCACAACTTGTTTCTTTTTCTTTTCCCAGGTGAATCACCCAAATTCTCAAAGTCCTTCATGGAAAATGGATCAGAGGTGAAGGAGTTTGTCCTTGTGGGGTTAACAGATGTCTCAGAGTTTCAGGTCCCCCTCTTCATAATTTTCACCATAATCTACCTTATTACCCTGGTGGGGAACCTGGGGATGATAGCCCTGATTTCTTGGGATTCCTGTCTTCACACACCTATGTACTTTTTCCTCAGTAACCTCTCTCTGGTGGATTTTGGCTACTCCTCAGCTGTTACTCCAAAGGTGATGGCTGGGTTCTTCCCAGGGGACAAAATTATTTCCTACGATGAATGTGCTATACAGTTATTCCTCTTTATGGGCTTAGCCACTGTTGAAAGCTATCTCCTAGCTGCAATGGCCTATGATCGCTACACAGCTATATGTGAGCCCCTCCATTACACCACCATCATGACATCCAGTGTATGTGCTCATTTGATCATTGGGTGCTACATCTGTGGTTTCTTACTTCCTCCATCCACACAGGAAACATTTTTAGCCTCCACTTCTGTAAGTCTAATATGAGCCATCACTTTTTCTGTGATATTTCACCAGTCATGGCTCTATCTTGTTCTGATGTAGACATTAATGAAATGGTTGTCTTCTTTGTTATATCGCTTACTGCCTTTTTTGCCATTTTCATCATTTTGATATCCTATTTATTCATCTTCATCAGCATCTTGAGGATGAACTCAACTGAGGGCCACCAGAAAGCCTTCTCCACCTGTGCTTCTCACCTCACAGCTGTGTCCATCTTCTATGGATCAGGAATCTTCCTGTACTTACAACCCAGCTCTAGTCATTCCATGGACACAGATAAAATTGCATCAGTTTTCTATACACTATGGTAATCCCCATGTTAAATCCTTTGGTCTATAGCCTGAGGAACAAAGAAGTCAAAAGTGCTTTTAAGAAAGTTTTGGATTGGAGAAAATAATCATTCAGGTTTTCCTGACTCAGGAGAAAACTTTTCAGTGATTTTTCTTGTGCACATTGATCTTTAAAGTATACCTTATCTATGTCCTTGAAGCTTAAATACTTTGGCCATGTATTGAGAAGATAAGATTCTTTGGGAAAGACCTTGGTGTTGAGAAAGACTGAAGGCAAGGGGAAAATGAGATGAATAGATAGATAGCGTCATGGGAGCAATGAACGTGAGCTTGGACAGACTTTGGGAGATAGTGGATGACAGAAGGGCCTGGAATACTACGGTCGATGGGGTCAAGAAGAGTTGGACAAGGCTAAATGACTGAACAAGAACAACACAGTTTCTGTGTCCTACCTGCCATTTCTCACATGGATCAGGAAATTTGAATTCTCCCTCTTAATACAGAAGTTGGGACGTATATCCCTATTTTGCCTTCCTTCATGTAATTCTGTGATTTGTAATTTTTATAAATTTAGGGAGTCTGGAAATTTTCTCAGAAGTCCATTCTTTTATTAAGGATTTTTTTTCCCCTAAAGTTTAACAAACAATCTATTCATTTTTTTAGCATATATCTGTAGAGACTTTCATGGAGTTATGAAGTAGACAGAGAGGTTTAATTAATTATATATGATCACAATTCAATCTGAGAAGATTAAATTGACTCTATCATTTTTATTGATCTTATTTATGGTTAATTGATTTTGTCCTGTAACTGCCTAAGTCATGGTTCTTGCCTCTAAATTTAATTCAGAATTTAGCTTACCTGTAATTGGTTAAGTTTAAGAATCCAGTTCTCTTGCTAATCCCTGTTCTAGTCTTGTCTCAAAGAATTCTGCTAATTTTGGGGGATATGGCTTGCCATACTGGAGTCTGGTCTAAAATCTTTATACTAACAAACTATACTTTAAGGATGTCTGGTTTGCTGTCCTAAGAAGACTCAGCCTTCTTTTTGTCTTTTCAGGTGGACTCCAACAAGGAACACTTCTCAGTATCAGCAGGGAAGAGGGGTTGTTGCTTGTCTCTCATTACAAATTTCCAGGCAATTATGTTGTTCCCCATGTCTCAGCTTTGGATCCAATCATGCTACTCTAAATTCCTTGGTGTCATCTACCCTGTTCTTCATTATGTACTCCCTTAAACCTATAAAAGAGGAGATGTCTTTTTGCTTGGGGTCTGTGGCTAGAAACTGAGGCAGCCCATTGACTCTTTTCTTGGTACGTACATGCCCTTGTTCATAAAATTATATGTTTCTTGGAGCAACATGCCTCAGTTTACTTTTTTGTTAAATTTCACTCATGACAAATCACAGACAGGAACCAGTATAGTGCCTGGCATAAAATAAGTATTTAATAAATGTTTATCTTCTAACTGCCTGTTTTGCATGCAGACTAGCCCTCTGTTCCTTATATTATGAAGTCTCATGCTTTTGGATAATAGAAATAAAATTTTTAAATTAGCAGGATAGCTTTTATCTAAAACATGTAGAACTTTTCTGCATGTTTTCTTCATAATTACCTTTAATACATTCACTATCACTTAGAATTAGGATCATAGATTCACGGAATGTGAAAGATGGTTATTTGTGTTGGTTTTACTGGTATTGATACTATTTTGTAAAATTTAACTCCATTGACACATAGTCTAATCCACATTCAAAAGTCATGTTCAAAGCAACATTCCTGACAAGGTATCATCCAGTCTCTGTATGAACAACCTCAAAGAGGGGAAAAACACTGACTCTCAAGGCCACTCATTCCACTTTTTTCCATTATAGGAAGTTTTTTTTTTTTTTTTGTGATATCAAAACTAAATTTGCCACTTCTTGTCTTTCCTCCATTATTCCTAGCTCTGAATTCTGGGCTCAAACGACAAAATGAAAACTTATTCTACACCTGATTGCTCCTCAAATCCTCAAAGTCAATGATCATATTTCCTCACTGAGGCTTCTATTCTTGTTAAAAATGCCCAATTTCTTTAAATGTTTCTATTAGAAATTGACGACAGGCCCTTCACTATCCTGCTTGCCTTCTTTTGCATGATCTTCAATTTATCAAATTCTTTGTTATACTGTCAGGGCAAGATATGAACAGTCATTCCATCCTCTGTGGAGTTTGTTTTGCAATATCCTTCTTGGGTCTATTTTTACAGATAGACTAAATGAAAGTGAGCCACCAGCCTCTTCTCACCTTGCTCATGACAGATCCACGCTTTATATCTAATTTCAGTCTTTCCTCTTCCCCAGAGATATCTATAGATTTTTATTCAAAAAGCATGAAATAATGAAGAGCAAAATGGGCCAAACCAAGAGAACATTGTATACAGTAACAGCAATATTGTTTTAAGAGCGTCTTTGAATGAATAAATTATTTTGACTATTATAAATGCCCAAATTAAGTATAAAGGCCATATGAAGAAAGATGCTACCTGCATCCAGAGAAAGAATTGATAAATAGAAGTATTTATAGAAAAATTGTACACATATATACCTATTTGTGAGTAATGGTAACCATCTTTAGGTTAGGGAGTGGGGGTAGGGAAGAAAAAAATAAATTTACATGAAAATTTTGTTGTGTATTTGAGAGGAATAGCAATTTTTGCATAAGAGATTTGCAGTTTCATGTGCAATCTTTTTTATTGTGCTGTACTACATTATGGAAATGTTTGCTTTATTCAATAAATTAAAAAATGAAAATTTTAAAAAATTCCATGTGGTCTTGAAGTTATATGTATTAATATCTCCAACTCACAGCACAGTGGTTGACAAATAGTGTGTGCTTCATAAATGCTTATTGATTTGGTTGCTTGATTCTTTCGATGTTTGTGCTTTTGTTTTTCTTATTTAATAAATTTTATCTTTTCAGGTGAATTCTACTGAATTTGGTTTAGCAAAGAGTTATGGCCACATAGTGGAAACTCATGTAGATAATCATTAAATCCTCAGTATCTATGAAAACTCATAAAACTTGCATATTTATTAGAAAAGGAACAGAATGCTTGCTATCAGTATCTCTTCTCTATGAGCAGTTGGGACCATGGAGAGGAGAAGCTATTAATGATAGACTTTACCCCCTGCTGATTTGTTAACTTTCCGCCCAGGGCCCTTCTCATCTAGGAAAAAGATTCATTCTATTTTCATGTTCAGTTGCCCTGACTCCTAGGTCACCCCTTTCCTTTCCTTCTCAGGATGTCCTAGTCTGTTGCTTACCTCAAGTGTCTCCTCATTCCATTCCACCCATTCATCCACTAAAGTGTTTTTTCCTAAAATGCAAATCTGATCATGTCACTCCTCCTCCCACATTCAATAAAATCCCGTGGTTTCCAATTGCCTCTAGAAGCAAATACAAAAAGCTCAGTTTGGCATTTGTATTGCTAAGTAGCCTTATTTACTGCAGCTTAAATTGATTTCACTTCAGATTGGTTTAGAAACGATGCAGAGTCTTATATATAAGTATATAGTAAAATTGTTTATTATTAAGATAGTAAAACAGGATTAAGATGAATGAATAGAATAGAGTTAGAGTTAGTAAATACCAATAGTGTACAAGAACATACTTAAGTTGGAATCGGTATAAATCTTGTCACAATCAATCATCACTGTCAGGGGAATCATCTACATCTGGATCACATGGGCTGGGGAGTCCTGGCTTTCAGCCTCCTGGGCTATGGAATACTCCAAAGGTGAAGTCAGAGCTACCCACCTTTAGTAGTTCCTTCTAACAAACAAGGCAGTTTGCCAAAAAATAAAAAAATAAAAAAAATAAAAAACATTAAAAAAAAGATAATCTGTGGGAAAGGAGCTACTCTCAAACATCCTTGAGAGTATTCTTGTTTATGAATATTCAGTTCCTGGAGGAAGGGGCCAGCCCTTTCTGGGAGCAAATACCATAAATGATCTTTCAACATCTAGTAAGGAATAAGATTAACATGAAAAAAAGTGTCAAGGTCAAATTGCAGGCACACTGAGCAAGGTCAGAATGTCTTTTCAAAAATTCATTCATCACAGCATTCAAAGCCCTTCGTAACCTAGTCCCTATCAACTTTCCAGTTTTCTTACATATTACTACCCACACATCCTCTTTGATCCAGTGTCACTGAACTTCTGGGTCTTTCACAAACAAGACACTCCATCTTGTAGCTTCAAACATTATAGGCTCCCCTTCTTCTGCTCCAGCTACTGATCTCCTTGGCTTCCTTTAAGCCCCCACTAAAATCCCTTCTCCTTCAGGAAGTCTTCCCCAACCCCTCTTAATTTTTGCACCTTCCCACTGTTAATAACTTCTTATTTATGCTACTTATATACCCTGTATATTCTGTTTTATATATAGCTTTTCTCTCCCCCATTAGATTGTGAGCTTTTTGAGGGAAGGGACTGACTTTTACCTCTTTTTGTATCCCTAGCAATGTACCCCAATCACAATGCCTGGCACATAGTAGACACTTAATTAATGTTTATTGAATTGAATTGAATCCAAAGCTTTTGCTGTTGTTGTTCAATCATGTCCTACTCTTGGTGACCCCACTTGGGGTTTTCTTCACAGAAATACTGAAGTGGTTTGCTATTTCCTTCTCCAGCTCATTTTACTAATGAGGAAACTAAGGCAAACAGGGTTAAATGACTTGTCTAGAGTCCCACAGTTAGTGTCTGAGGCCAGATTTCAACTCAAAGACATGAGCCTTCCTGACTCCAAGCCCAGCATTCTATCCATTTGCTTAGTTATTATAAATAGAACAGAACTTGTGATGACTGTATCAGTCCTCTCTTTGCAGTCAGGATCATGGACAGAGGATGCAATTTCTCAAGGCAACAGTCTACCTACTGTTGACTTGTTGCCTGTCTGCTTAGGGCCCTTCTAATTCAGAATGATCATTTTCTTTTTCTTCTCATTTGCCTCACCTACCTGGTTATTTGTCTTTTTCCCGTAAGGTGTCAATTAAAAGCTTCTACAAAAGATCGTTACCTTGTAAGATTTTGCCATTAATTATAAATGAAATTAAAACCATTGCTTTTA